CGCAATAAAAATGGAGAAAAAAATCAAATCCCTCGTTAGATCCAAACAATTTATGAATGTACTTCATGTTGTAAGCAATTATAGTAAATCGTAATACGATTGAATGATGCAAACAATTGGAATGGCAGACGAAAGGCTACAMATACTTATATAGATTGCACAGGTTAGCGTAAAAATATGCAACAAACAATACAAACCACATGCAAACACACACACAGATAATAACAGATCTACAATTACATATGATGGTGTGCTAAGAAGCATCAAGTCAGATAAACAATTATGTGAATTTACAAATCATTGCTTTGAAACAATACAAATGTTAATTCATATCATGAAAATATATAACCACCATATATATATGTGTATATAGTATGTATGTTTGTTGTACAAATTTTAATTCGTACATGAAATTTTCGTAAACGCACATTCAACTAACTACAATATTTGCGATCGCGGCCAATTGGCACCAGCGTTGAACCTTCATTTTGTGGAATTTAATTGCGGTGAACTTGAATGGTATACTGATAAGTTGGCTTTAATGTAAAAAAATGGTGCGTATATGTGGTGTACAATACGCAGAACCTTTTCGGCTTTACCAACATTTATAAGCATTTGTAGATATGTTTRTGAGACTTACTGCTATTAAACTCAATTGTTTGTGTTGTCAAAACACAACGCTATTACTGTAATTTGACACATTTGAATATTGTCATGCTTGATTTTAGTATATGTACATACAGTTGTTTGTGTGTGGTTAAAAATCTGAAGCTATAATTATATACAATTTATTTAGACAGTAAATGACAAATGCTATAGTTTAATAATTTAATTGTCAATAGTTATTTAATATGCGAGTATTTTTATACACAAAATTATTGCAATTTGGAAATTTTCTTTACCCAATTTTTCCTTTGACTTCATTTCACAAGTTTTCAATTGGGCTTAAATCTGGAACTTGCGCTAGCCAACCAACAAGTGGAATTTTTCCTTTCGTAAGCCATTTTTTTTATATTAACTTTCCAATATGCTTTGGATCGTTATCGTGTAGAAAGATCCAATCTGCTGGCACACCATCATAAATATAGGGCTCCATTGTATTCCTCAGTATATTAAGATAAGCAAAAGTATCCATATTCTCCTCTAACTTTAGTAGTGGTCCAAGTCTAAGCAACACCCCAATCATTTAAATTTCCTCTGCCTTGCTTTACAGTCTGTTTGGTATATCTTGGATCGACTTCTTGGGTTTTCTTTTGAAGCACAAATGTTTTTCCATCAGGACCAATGTGGTTTAATTCGGTTTCATCCATAAAAGGTATCAATTTCCTAAAATTTAAATCCTTTAATCACTGACTATGAGGAAATGATTAACGTACTTTAAAATATTTTTTCCGACAGTAGTGGTTTTATRTGCTCACACACCCAAACAAATTATTTTAATTGAAACGTCTCTGCACTAGTGTACTTGACATGTTTAATCCCAATTCTGCATTGATTTCGACCATTATTACGCGTGAGGATCTGAGATCAGCTTTCATTTTCTAAGAATTACTTTATCTTCGCGGTGGGTTATTTTTCAAACCGGTGCCTTATAAATTATGTTTTAGGATAACAGATTGAGGCCATTATTAACTTTTTTGATGGCATTGTACACATTTTTTCTGGAACATTTCACTTGGTTTATACTGAGAACGGTTACTTGTTAAATCAAACACAAGTAATGACCGAAAACTGTAAGTGCGCAAAATCATTGTTTAACGAATTTATGACGAAATTAAAAAAATAAAACATATTAGCAAAATCTGAATGGAAATGACAACGGCTATTTTCCTATACATTTAAAGAGGCGTGAGAAGCAGTATTGATCTCTTAATAACAAATTTATCGAAACATCACTCTCTTACAAGTAACCGCAAATTAACTCCATCAGATTCAATACACTTATGGCAATGTTTTTTCCAGTCCTCGAAACACTTAAACTCTTTTTTGGATGGCTTCAGCTCCTTCAGCGGATTTTATTTGATCTCTTCGATCGTCGAAAATGGGTTCCACGTTGGAGCTATTTCAGTTTGGGGTACAAGAAAAAGTCACACAAAGCCAAATCTGGTGAATACAGTGGTTGAATGATGGCTCGTTACGATCGTATAAAATAAATAAATTGCTCTTTTCCAATCCCGCCGTTATCGACGGATGTTCTCACACAATAGCCGCGGGCAAATAGAACTGTTCATTGACCGTCTATCCCTCCAGAACAAATTATGATGCACCAAACCACCAATATCGAAAAAAACAATCGCATTACCTTGATTTTTGAAGCGTTTGGCCATAATTTTTATGGTTTCGGATCGTTTTTATCATCTATTCCGATAATTGTTGACTTCTTGTCATCTCTCTAACATTTGCTTGACGATTTTCAAGTACTATGTACTTCACTTTTTTAATATTTTATTAGTTGAAGAGGTCGAAGGTCCTCCAGAATGAGAAAAGCCTTCAACGATCTCTCGACCGTCCTTGAAGACCACTCGTATGTAGGGTTGTGTTTTTGATAAAACTGAATCAACGTAAGCTTTTTCCATGCGCAACGATTCCACACCCGAAATTTGATTAGAAATACAAAATTTGAGACAAATCCTTAGTTCAGTATTTTTATTGACTGTGAAAACCGCAACACACCGTATCACTCTTATTTTTCTTCGTATATAAACCGAAGCCTATTGTACTCAGGAAAATAAGATCATGCTGATCATTAATATATATATTTCATAGGGTCTACTATGTTTCCTTCTGGGTATTACAAACCTGTTCAGGATATGAAAAAAAACTCTAAGGCAGAAAACCTTTCTGTTAGAATTAAGAGCGCATACATACTTGGAAAGACTGCCTTAGAGGTGTGTAAAAAAATATTTTTCAGAATACCAAGTGAAAAAAGAAATTTTGTTTTTACTCGCCCTTTTATACATATAAACATTGCATATTCTTTGTCTATACTATGTTTGAGGTGATTGAGAAATAATATCATTAAGTAAGTATATTGTGAGATCCAGACTTCTTTAAGCATTCGTCTGATCACCTGAGTAATTAACCAAGAAGGGAGGAGGAAGTGAAGTATTTGAACAGTACAATCGTAGTACATAAAAAGCTGTGCATTAAAGTATACGAGATTGAAAACAAATTTTGTTAGGGATTCCATGGTGTGTCAAACTCAACAAAAGCTAACTTAAGGTAAGCTTCACTTGTAACCAGTTACCAATACTAATTAATGGCTACTATAAAAATAACACCCGAAGAAGCTCAATAAATTTATAGTTAAAACTGCTAYGTAAGTTATTGCCGATAAGAAAATGGAATCAACCATCAATAGTTAACGTAAATAACAACAAAAATATGCGTCATCATGATGTTATTATGAATAGATTCCCCGGCTTTTGTGTGGTTTTTTTAATATGCATACATATACATACATATGTATACACATATGAATGTGTGAACATACTCACTATAGATTTGCAAAGAAATGCCACTTGGAATTTCCAAAGTTTTTATTTTAACTTTTWACAGCAATTACAAATAATAAGTTCGCTCGAATTCCCTGGTAATGCGACCATAATGGGKGCCGATTAGTGTATGTGTGTGCGTATAGAACATATAATGCTCAGTAAAAGTGCATAGATATGTATGTTTGTAAGTGTGAATATAATCCACTCACAGTTAAACGTTTTGCGTTTGCGTGCATAATATATTATTGATATCGTTATATACCATATACTCATAAATATCATTAAAGATATACATATAGTTAAATTAATATGCATGCCTCGCCTGCTCTCCATAATCGTCACAAACAAGCCTCTTTTTGACATCGAACATTCGTAAAATGACTGTCGCCAGGTGCTTTTTAGCTACAGACATAATTTCATATACACATAAATGTATTTTTATATTTATATGTCAACAAGCACACATGTCTACCCATATTAATGTAAGTTCTTATTTTAACTTTTGAATGCGCCGAACTTCTTGCGAGCCAGTTACAAATTAAGCACAAAACCAGTCATTTAAAAATGTGASATACATATGTAGCTGCATTTGTACGAGTTGTGTATTCGGCTTCCTGTTCAAACATTTCCGAAACAAACTTGAACTCTGCTTGCAGAGCGCGTAAGTTGAAACGAATATGCCCACTTTTCACGCGCTACCGCCACCACGCCTCGCAATTTTGCCCTCACAAATGGTCAAGTAATCGATTCGAATGTGTGGTGCTAATTCGGTACCTATACCCGTAAGTGATAGCTGGCGTATAAACCTGCTTTGCCGCGAAACTCCTCGTGCTGACTTACTCACCTACCGAACTTCGATGTACGATTAAAGTACGTATGTACGTGGGGTTTGCGTACGTACATACGTCACGGATTGAGTAAGCGCCTGCTCACAGCAGAGGAAATCCACAATTAATGCTGATGCTTGAAACAACAACAACAGCAGCTTACGGCGAAGAAGTGCCTGAAAGCGCAGCTTTAAAGCGTTGCGCTGTGCAAACGGCTGATGAAAAATAAAATTTAAAAAAAAAACCAACAACTACAATGCACAAGCTCGTAAATTGAGAGCCACACAAGTGTTAGTTTTGCTCTCTTAATAGCGCTTGCTGCCACAATGGTTCCCAGCAGCAACTAAATTTTGTCGATTGACGATTTGTTCGTTGTTTTTCTTTACGATTCGCGATCACACACACACATATATATACATACATACATACACACGAGCCCCACAAATTATTAAAGCAGCTGCTGCTGTGCTTTGTTCGCGATCCATTCTTCATCCTCACGAGCTACCTCTGCAGCTGCTGCTGTGACTGTTGCTCTTTTTGTAGTTTTTTGTTTTTTTGGATTTCGTTGGATTTGTGCGGCGGGCGGTAGTTGGCTCTTATGCATTCTAGCGGTGTCCGCTGAGGCCATTGTTGCGCTGGACGCGTATAAAAGTTGACTCGCGTTCGATGTTCTGATTAGTATTTGTGCGCCGCTGACTTTGTAACGTTCGGAAAAACTCCAAGCTGAAACTTGTAACAATTTGGTGTGTTGAGCAAGTGCAAAAATTTCGCAAGAACAAACATAATTACTGAGTTTGGGTAATAAATAATTGCGTCGAGTTGTTGAAGTGTATTGTGAAAGTGTACGAACTATATAAGGAATTGGCAGTCAGTGGATTAAGTATTGTAAAAGTACGTAAATTAAATTTTTTTTAATAATTTCTTAATATTAATTTTTTTATGAATGTAGTGAAGTCGGAAGTGTGAGAAATTTTTTTGCTAAATTTACAATACATTTTATTTTCGTTCTCGAAAATAATTCAAAATTGCATGCGTTAATTTTGTAATAAAAGGTTAAAACTTCATTCGTTTGTGTTATGTATTATGTGTTATACAATTACTTCTACCGTTACCAATATGTGTGATTTTCCAATTTATAATTGTTTCAATGTTATTGAGATTTTTTTATTGTCTATTTATTCAATAAGTGACTTTTCGTGACATTAAGCTGTTATTAGTATGGTTTATTTTGAAACGAAATTGAGTTAATGTAACAATTACTTACATCAGCATAAAACAAATCCGCCATAAAAAGTTTTTTAAATTAATTTATTAATTTTTATATAAACCCAATAAGCTGATACGAAAAAAATAAACAAATTTTAGGAAGTTTTAAACAATTTGATTGTGTTATCCTTTGTCATAATATTGGGTAGTCGAAAAAGTATTTTCGTATTTCCAATCAAACTTCAACTTATTTAAGCAATATTTTTCCTGAAAACGATATTTATTTTTGAAAAATATTTTCACATATGTACATATATCTCTTATACAACTATTTTTTTGAAGAATTTCTTTAACCTTTTACTTTTTCAAAAGCTTTAATGGCATAAATAAGTTTTATAAAGCTATACCGATAAACYATAAAGCGAATGGATTCTGAGATTGTTTTCAATTCCCAAACGTTTTTTGTACCACTTTGCAACTAAAAACATCGAAAATATATACTCAGACAMTCAATAAGAGAGAGATAAGAAACGGAAACTAAAATATTATTTTGCCAAAAATCCAAACTTCTTTATACAAAAAGCACTTTAAAAATCAACATTTATTTTTTCACCAACCGTAATATTTTTCTGACAAGCCAGTTATGTATGCATTTTGACTTAAGAAGAATACAAATAAAATATAAAGATTACTGTTATCTCCTTTTCAGAAGCACTAGAATTTTTTGCATAAATGTTGAWTTCGATTCATGCTCTTAGTTCCAAYTAAGGAATTAGCTGAAGATTGATTGATCTCCCTATAAATCCAGTTTTAATGACAGACGCAGATGTAATTCATTCAAGAACAGTCCSAGCATTAGAAGTTGATGGAACCCCTGATTTATTTATTTGTATTGTTTAATTATAATTAATTTTTAAGATATTACATATACATATAAAACTTTAACTTTTTTATTTTGTTAAATAAATTTATATTATCGTTTGCAATAAAAATGTCAAGGTTAGGTTAAGTAAATCAGGTAAGCCAATGAGCCACGTATACACCACTTTTGGTYCTTTGCGATACCAGATCTAGTTCAGGTACTAGGTCAATGTATTTAGTAGTCATCCTCTACGATCTCACGCTTAACTCAAATTTTAACTGTGTGGCTTCACTATCGATACCTTTTCCAGTGTATCATACCGTGGGGACCCCAGATGCTTACAACGTAATCTTGCCAATGCGGGACAATGGAACACGAAGTGCTTTATTATTTCCCTGGTGCCTTGCAATAGACATTTTATGCAGTCTTCTCGATCAGAATGTCAAGCACATAATCTTAATTGCTTTTAAGTGTTCCCGTATAACTTTTACTTTTGATTTTAAATTTTTTTCTTATAGTAATTAACTTATAATAAAAAAGAGTAGGGGGCTAAGCTTTGACAAATATTTTATTTTATTACTTTTAAAATTTTATTTAATAATTACTTTATTTTATATACTTATGAAATTAAATTTGAAATTGTTTAAAAATTATTAAATTACAAACATTCGAAACGATCCCATTTTAT